AGCCTTTTGCTGATTTTAGCTTCTAGTTAGCCTTTTTCTATTTTTTTCATCTAATTAGCCTTTAGCTGATTTTAGCTTCTAGTTAACCTTTTCCAACTTTTACCATCTAGTTAGCCTTTTGCTGATTTTAGCTTCTAGTTAGCCTTTTTCTATTTTTTTCATCTAATTAGCCTTTAGCTGATTTTAGCTTCTAGTTAACCTTTTCCAACTTTTACCATCTAGTTAGCCTTTTGCTGATTTTAGCTTCTAGTTAGCCTTTTACAATTTTTACCATCTAGTTAGCTTTTTCCTGATTTTAGCTACTAGTTAACCTTTTCCAACTTTTACCATCTAGTTAGCCTTTAGCTAATTTTAGCTTCTAGTTAGCCTTTTCCAACTTTTACCATCTAGTTAGCCTTTAGCTGATTTTAGCTTCTAGTTAGCCTTTTCCAACTTTTACCATCTAGTGAGCCTTTAGCTGATTTTAGCTTCTAGTTAGCCTTTTTCTTTTTTTCATCTATTTAGCCTTTTGCTGATTTTAGCTTCTATGTAGCCTTTCCCAACTTTTACCATCTGGTTAGCCTTTAGCTGATTTTAGCTTCTAGTTTTCCAACTTTTACCATGTAGTTAGCCTTTAGCTGATTTTAGCTTCTAGTTAGCCTTTTCTATGTTTTTCATCTAATTAGCCTTTAGCTGATTTTAGCTTCTAGTTAGCCTTTTCCAACTTTTACCATCTAATTAGCTTTTTCCAACTTTTACCATCTAGTTAGCCTTTTGCTGATTTTAGCTTCTAGTTAACCTTTTTCTATTTTTTCAACTAGTTAGCCTTTTGCTGATTTTAGCTTCTAGTTAGCCTTTTTCTAGTTTTATCATCTAGTTAGACTTTTGCTGATTTTAGCTTCTAGTTAGCCTTTTTCAATTTTTTCAACTAGTTAGCATTTAACTGATTTTAGCTTCTAGTTAGACATTTCCAACTTTTATCATCTGATTAGGCTTTTCCTGATTTTAGCTATTAATTAGCATTTTGCCACTACTCCAACACTGACAATGCTTTTAGCTGATCTTTTGCTACTTTTATTTAACTTGTGCTATTTTTAGTTTCTTGCTAGCCCCTTTTGATAGTTTTAACAACTTTTCTGCTATTTTACCTTTAGCTAGCCTTTAGCTGTTTTTAGCTAGACTTTTCATACTTTTAGCTAACCACTTGCTGCCATTAGCTACTATTTTGGCTAGACTTTAGCTACTTTAGCCTTTTTGTATATTGAACTAATTTCTTGCTTCTTTTTGACACTGGTTTGTTACTTTCAGCTATAATAGGCATTTTAATTTCAGGTTTGCTACTTGAAGCAACACATCTGCAGCTTTGAGTGAACTTTTTGCTGCTTTTAGCTTTTGTTTTGGTACTTTTTTYACATTAAAAGCCTCCAGGACTACAGCTGTGATTGAGTTTTATTTCTGTGGTGTTTTTTTAATCTTTTCTTCTGTCATGTTTGTGTTTGTCAGACAGCCACGGATCAATAACGTGTCAAACTCCAAACATCTCTGCTTCTTTTCCACGACACAAAGACAAAAGCTGGAACTTAAAACTAATTATTTTAGCTTGTTTCTCTTTTTCTTTTTGATTTTTTTACTACAGAAAACAAAAATATTTCATGATTTTCTCGTCTTCACGCTCAGTTTCAGTCAGCGTGACGCCTCGTCCTCTTTAGTCTCACTTTGTTCTCATTGCTCCATCAGATCTCAGCAGCTTCACTGATAAATGTAAAGGAGCCGCAGCCGGGTCGGTCCGGGTCAGGCCGGGCCGGGCTTGTGAGCAGAAACACAATCAGCCTCACGTTAAACTGCACATCGTCTCATTTTCAGATTGTGGTGAAACTCAGTGGATTATTTGAGGAGCAGTGATGCGAACAGAACCTCTGCAGTGAAACGAGCTCTGATGGACTCAGACTTACTCTCTTGCCAGGAGGACCAGGTGGACCGGCCTCTCCAGATGGACCTGGAGGTCCCTGAAAACAAACAGATGATGTCAGTCGAGCCTCTCGTACACAGTCAAATAAACTTGTTTTGATGAATGACTTCCTGTTAGAGCCAGTCTTCACAGATAAAAACAGCCTTTAGAAACAATCAAGGTCCATTTTAAAGTCCAGACTTTGTTTCACTTCAACAATAAKAAAAGTTTATTTTTATTTATTTCCACTGAAATGTGTGATTTAAACTGAACAAACAGCTTCCTGCTTTTGTTTCTAAAACTTTGACAAATTTATGAAATTCTAGAGAACTTTTTACTTGTAGGTTTTGATTGGACAGGTGTCAAAGTGGTGGGCGTGGCTAAAAGTTGACTGGATTTGAACTGTTATTAGGAATATTATTCCTGAGGTCAGAACCACTGGTGTAACCTACATAAAACAAACTACTGAAGTCATTCAATCAGTCTGAATAATAATAATAATAATAATAATAATAATAACAATAATGATAATAATAATAAT